TACCGCACACAGATGTACAGCCCTAAATGACATCACAGCTATCCTTCTCCCTCCGAAACCTAACATTGACAACACACTCTACGGAACATTACAGCAACTGCAGCAAACCTGCACTTATCACTACATGGCATCGGACAGAAGGGCGAGAGCCCAGATGTTGCTGGATCGATAACAACAACAACAACAACAACAACCACACGCAGATACAGTCAGCACATTTTCCAGTCTACATGTACTGACCCCTCCCCCCCTAAAAAAAAACCCAAACAAACAAACAAACAACCCTCTAATACACCGTAACCCCCCTCCCCAAGCATACACCCACCCACCACCACCACCCCCCTCCCAAAATACCATCAGCACACATCATGTCCTTGTTGTTGGCCTCCTCCTCATCTGCCGCATCCTCTTCCTCATCCTCCTCTTTGTTGTCGTCCTCTTCATCCTCCTCTTTGTTGTCGTCCTCCTCATCCTCCTCTTTGTTGTCGTCCTTCTCATCCTCCTCTTTGTTGTCATCCTCCTCATCCTCCTCTTTGTTGTTGTCCTCCTCATCCTCCTCTTTGTTGTCGTCCTCCTCTTTGTTGTCGCCCTTCTCATCCTCCTCATCCTCCTTGTTGTTGTTTATTTCTGGTAAGAGTTTTACAGCGTTCGCAACTGCATACGGTCATATGAGCGTCTTGCTGTTGTCATCCTCCTCATCCTTTTATCCCCATGCTCTTCCTCATCATCGTTGTCCTCATCCTCCTCCTCCTCATCCCAATCCTCATCCTCCGCTTGACCCCCTCTCAAGATGACTGACCAGACAGACTCCATCCCCACAATCCCCGCTGCAAGCCCCCTGGGAGAAGGTCACTGCACCCCTTCTGCGAGTACATTGCCCCCCGTGAGCCAACCGTGAGCCGACCGCGAGAAGGTCGTCACGTGGCCTTGAGGTTGTGGTGCGCCACGCTCGAGTGCTCCTGGCTCTGCCGCAGCTTTTCCACCAGCGAGAGGATCTGTCCGCGGAGCCGCTGGACCGTGTCCGCATTGACCATCTCGGGGAGGGACACGCCGAAACACTCGCACAGCTCGCGGATCAGGTGCTCCGTCATGGCGATCACATACATGCCGCAGTCGTAG